AATAACATGACCAAGTTCAACTGGGAATGCAAAATGGAGATGGTAAGCAAATTACAAGACACTCCATCATAAGTAGGAGGATGTGGGTGCAATGTAACAGCAAAGTGAAAACTTAAATATTTACCACTGACTCCACATTTATTTGGAGTCTAATGTGTTCCAGGCTCTGAAATCAAGTAAACAAGATACAGACATGAGTAAGTCCAAGACTCTGCCTTTGTATGGTCAAAATAATGTCTCCACAAAAATGTCCTAATCCCTGGGATTTGTCATTATTTTACTTTACATGGCAAAAGGGACTCTGCAGATGTGATTAAATTAAGGACTTTAAGATTGAGGGATTATCCTTGATTATCTTGGGGCCAACCTAATCGCGTGTATTCTTAAAATCACAGAAACTTACCTAGCTGTGGTCAGAAGGTCACGTGACTACATGACAAGAGTCCGAGAGATCCAACATTGCCGGCTTTAAAGGGTCCATGAACCAAAAATTGTAGCAGCCTCTAGAAGCTGGAAAAGGCAAGGAAATGGATTCTCTCTAGAGCCTCCAGAAAAGAATACAGCCCTGGCAACACCTTAACTTAAGCCCAGTAAGACCAGTGTCAGACTTCTAACCTACAGAACTGTAAGATAACAAGTCTTCATTTGAAGCTACTGAGTTTGTGGTAATTTGTTATGACAGCAATAGGAAACTAATTTTAAGGAGTTTATGATTTGGAAGAAAGGCAGGCCAGAAAGTCACAAATTACAAAATGATTAGATTAAAAACTATTGAGATTTGGACTAGGTGTTTTTAAAAAAGAATTTATAAAGAAAAGATTGCAGCTCAAAAAGCAGATTTGTAGATTTCATCCTAGAGGTTACAGTTGGGGCCAAAGGAATACACGAGCTCTGCTGGGGACAATGTGCGGGTTGAGGTTCTCAGAAGTCTGGGTGGGACCCTGGGGATTGCTAATGTTCATGGTGATGATGTGGTAGATTGTATCACTGTTCACCCATTATCTGGTGTCCCTCCTGCAGTGTTCCTACCTACTGGAAGATTATACATTTTTGTCTTATTAAAGGAAGGGTCAGGTTTAGCCATGTGACCAGTGACATGTGTCACTCCCAGGCAGAAGCTTTAGGACTCCTTTCTCCATCAGGCATGATGACTACCAATGTTCCAGACTGGGGCTGCTCAGTCAGACTCAGTCTACAGCTGACCCACAGTGGACATACAATGCAAGTGAGAAACAGGGGTCCTTAAGACTACAAAAGCTGCCATTGAGCAATAACCTAGAATAGAGGTCCGGTTCCCTAATTCAAAGGAACCACAGGAGAGAGATGCCCAGGAGTAACCCAGAACTGCCATGAGAGAAAGCTTTACCCATCAGTCAGGTCAGGAGACCATGAAGCCACTTAGGGAAGAAGGAAGGAAGGGAGGGAGGGAGGGAGGGAGGGGAATAAAGGAGGGAGAAAGGAAGAAAAAAAACCTGTTCCTCCTTACTTTTTCACTGTCAGGAAAAATTCTGAAAGACTCTGAAATGGACCAAATAAAATTACATATATCCTATCTAGTGCATTCTTCTGAGTGAGCTATTTGACTCTGTAGGAGCCTTTTACATCTCTGTAAATTGCAAAATACTTAAAGTAATGCAAATGATTCCTGTCCACAGAAGCACAAATAAATTTTGTCAGGTAGAAGCAATTGATTATTGACCTGGGATATCAACCAGCTTTGCATTTATTTGTGAACTTATTTCTGTATACCTATTTGCTTACATGTGTGCTCTTCGAATTTCCCCTCAAACCAATTACAACATCTTATTGCTCCCTCATTAATTAATGAGTTACAAAATTCTTTTGAGACTTGTTCATTTTATATTTATAAGAGAGTAAAGATCTTACCTTCTCGGAAAAAAAATTGTTCTTTAACACCAATTCCCCACATCCCACAGCAGTTCACATGGTAAAGGTGTGAGAGCAGCACAGAGATGAGTAGACACATTTCCCAAAGACAGGCAGCTGCCATCCCTAGGATTGCTGAAAAAAGAAGAGAATTTTCTATATCGAGTGGAAGTTAAAAGATTGCACAATACCTAAGACTGAAAACTCTGAGACTGTCCTCACCATGGAGCATGAAGGGACGGCTCTCAAGAGAGAGGAAGAGAGCTGTGGTGTTGGCCAGAATTTTTATCCAGAGCCAAGAGAACACGTTCTCTTGCTGAATACAGTTGAAAAGAAACAAAGGAGCAGTTGCAATTTGGATATTTGACAAGGCATGCCTGTCCCATGTACAGATTACACAAGATAAGGACTTGGCAATTAGGAGGTCATGGGTGTCAGGAGAGGGACAGACTTCAGCGCTGTGATGGTAGAATGCAGACCACAGCCAGCGGGAGGTGAGTTAGTGCAGAGTAACACAGAAGGCTTCCCCAAGCATTCTGGTTGCAATGGGGAGGAGAGGGTGGTAGCTAAATGATAATGATGTAAACATCAAGGATTTGGAGGATTTTCTTTAATGTGGAGGATTTGACTATTTGCATGTTCAGAAAGAAGAATGTAAAAGAGAAGCAGAAGTTAAAAGGGGTAATTGATGAAGCAAAGGTCCTAAGTGAGCAGAAGGGGAGGGGATCAGAGCACAGGAAAAAGGATTAACTGTGAACTGAAAGAAAGGAGAATACGTGAATGAGTGTAGAAAAAGGAAGCAGAAAGTAGAATTCATGGCCTTTGTGTGAAGGTGGGAGAAGTTACCTAAGCTGTCAACGAATGGGATAGTTGTCGCAGGAAACTAGGAAAAAAGCTAACTAGAAATAAAACAACAAATAGTAATAGTCATAGAGTACTTACTACATACAAGGCACTTTACATATGTGACATGTAAAGTTTGTGAGATTTCACACAACTGCACACATGTGCAAAAAATTTTTAAGTGCCTTCCTTTATTTCTGTAACTGATCTCGTTTTATTCTTTCTTAGGAAGTGTGGAAAAACTCTTGAACCTGCCAATTAAATGCAAGTGGGCCTCTTTCAAACTAATTCTCTTGAATACTCATTCGATTCAAATTTCAAATTCCCTAAGCCAGGCTAGGTTCTTACTCAAACTGTCTACCTACCATACCACCCATTCCGAGGAGGCGTGTGTCTGGGTGCAGAGGTGCTCACATACCCTCCTGGAGGTTGAGGTGGGGGTGCACTGTCCTCTGGGATAAGCTGGCCTCCGCTGACCTGCTGATGTGTGGCTAATCCTGTCTTTGTTTGGGCACGTACTGGTACCCATTGATGAAGTTTCTGGTCAGCCACTGCCATTTTCCTCTGGCTTCCAAGGCCTCACACCAACTTCTCAGCAGAAAGCCTACAGGCCTAGAGAAAGCGGAATGATATATTCAAAGTGCTGAAGAAAAACAACTGGCAACCACAAATGTATACCCAACAAAGCTATCCTTCAGAAACAAAGGAGAAATTAAGGCATTCTCAGACAAACAAAACCTGAGGGAATTCCTTGCAACCAGATCTACCTTACAAGAAATGCTAAATGGAGTTCTTCAAACTGGAAGAAAAGGGTGCTAATGTGTAGCATGAAAACATCTGAAGGTGTAAAACCCACAGGTAAAAATAAATGTTCAGACGAGTTCAGGGTGGTGTAACATGGTAATTATGGGACATAAACCATTTATTTATCCTTAGTAGGAAGGTTAAAAGACAAAAAAATCCAAGCAGTCTGACTCTAGAAGCTACATTTTAACTAGAAACACATTATGTACTTAGATGAAGGCCCCTAACATCAGGCCCTGAGTCTGAAGCATCTTTTGCATCCCCCAAGCACAGTGGCTTGCACAGCGATGATTGATAAATCGATAAGGGACTGACTTCCAGTGTCCTCCCTGATACGGCATTTCCCCACCCATCCGACTTTCCCCCTCTGTTTTTCTAACACACCGCCTCCTCTCCAGCCAAGTCACACTCCTAACTGTCCCACCCTTCCCATGTTAACTTCAGGCTTTGGAACCTGAATACTTCAACAGCACCTGGTATGCAGGCCTACTCCAAGGCAGGGCTGGGCAGGGTGTAGGCATGAAACAAGGATGAATAAGCTACAACTCCTGCCCTAAAAAGAAAGCGCACAATTATGTTACAGCATAAGAAATGCAGGAAATTTGGGGAACCACAGATCATTCAAAGATGGTCTTCTGGAGGAAATGAGGCCTGAGTTCGTCTTAAAGGTTGAAAAAAGGGCCTATGAGGAGTTGGAGCCAATTGCAACTCTGCAGGAGCAGGAGCAGCAAACGCAGAGCTCTCAAAACGTCGTCGCAGCTCGGCGCGACCGGGACTGAAGCGGCAGGGCCAGCGGTGAGAAGGGAGCCGGTCGTCGGTAATTCATTAACTGAGGCTAGGAACCCCACCCGGGAATCTGGGCCTCCTCTAACGGAGTTTAGATAAGGGAATAGTAGTGATCTACGGAGATCACTCGAGCAGCACCACGGAAGGGAGTTTGGAAGGGGGAGAATTATTTATAGAAGAAATTGGAACAGGCAGGAGAAATATCCACGCGGCCCACTCCAGGAGAGCCTCTCCCAAGACTTCGGTCTTCAGTGCCAAACCCCGCCTCACCTCCACCCTAATTCAGCTGCGACCCCAAATTCAGCACTTAATTATATTTGACATCGTTCCCTAATCGTTTCCTGCACATTATTCACGTCTTCCTAGTTAAAACAACGCGATAAGGTTCGTGGAGCTGCATGAAGCCGTATACGCCGGGTCCCGGACTCACACCGCGCGCCCAGCCAGCCGCGGACTGCCGGTCCTGTCCTTGATCACCTCCCCTCAGCCAGTCCCCGGCCGCCCGCGCCCCGCGGGAGGCGACGCCGACCTCGTCCGCCAGGGGGCGCGTCCGCACGGGCTTCCGCCTTCGGGAGGCGCTGTTGTTCCGGGTTCCGCAAGAGGGAGCCGGAGGGAGCGGCCGCACGCTGACAGACTTGGCCCTCTGCACTTGCCGTAGCGCCCCTGACAGTAAACAGGAAATAGAATTCTGTATTTCTGACTTTCGACGTTCGAGCGAGAAAGGCAAGGGAACCCGTAGAAGCGCGATCGCTGCCGCTGTTTCGCATGCGTTCCGGGAATTTGCACTTCGCCCCCACCTTTGTTCACCTGCTCCCCCGCTGCTTCTGCTCCAGGTCAGGTATTTGGCCTCTTCAGAACCATGGCGGAATACTCCTATGTGAAGTCTACCAAACTCGTGCTCAAGGGGACGAAGGCTAAGAGGTGAGAGCCTAAGCTTGTGCGGGAGACTCTTCTGTTCTTTTCTGACACTCCCCCCGCCCCCGCGAGGCCCCTGGGAGCCGTACAGGGCTGTCTCTTTAGCCTCCCAGCCCTTGGGCCTGGCCTCTAGTCTGGGCCCGACCGAGGCTGCGACTCAGTTCCCGGTGCCGGTGCGGAGCTGGGGAAGCTGTCGCGCCCCGTAAGGGGAGGAGATGGGAGAGGGGGACCAGTAGCCCAGAGCCACAAGTTTGGGTCCCCTGAGGCCTCCCTTCCAGACTTCTGCGTGGTGGGTGTGCATTAGTCTGATCATGCAGGTCGTAATAGCTTCCTTTACTGGGGATGACTATTTTCGCCATTGTCTCCCTTCCCCCTAAAAGAAATTCTTGATTCATTTTTTGTAACGTAATATGTAGAGTGGAACTGGGCTGAATCACATCGTGGTTAAAGATATGGGCTTTGATAGGGATATGGACTCGAATCTGGACTCCACCATTTGCTAATTTTGCGACTTGTGGAAAATTGGTTAATATGTCTGAGCTTCCATTTACTCATTTTACTTTAAAAGAATTATGAGGATTAAATGAGGTAACGTGCGTGCAGTAAATAAATTGAGTCAAATGCAAGGAGGTTGTCATGGTTACTTATGATTATTAGCTATTTAGGGAAAGATACCTGTCCACTCAGATCTGCACCTCTTTTTTAAGTGGTAGATTTGTCTGGTGTTGGCTATACAGAATGTTTTTGGTACTTTTAGGTGAAGTGGAAAGAAAGTATCGAGTAAGCTGAAGCTACTGCCCTTGAGATATATCACAAAGAGATTTAGTACTACCTCTTTCAAAAATCACAGAGCTAAGAAGTGACAGAATCAAGATTTAGAACATGGCAGTCTGGCTCCTAGGGGTCTGGCATCATGAAGAACTTATCCTGAATAAATCTGAGACTTTTACTGTCTGAATTTGCTGGGAGGAGAGCAAAGTTATCTTCTGAAAACTTAATTTATGATTAAAATGCAAACAAATGTTTCATCTTAAAATTATCGTAACAATCATAATTTTAATGCATATATAGCACTCTCTGTGCCAAGAATTGTTCTAAGCACTTACATATTAACTTTTTTTATTTAAATCACTCTTGGGTTTTTTTGATTGTTGTTATTGACATGTAATTCATATATCATAAAATTCACTCCTTTAAAGTGTACAGTTCAGTGGCTTTTAGTATATTCATGAGGTTCACCACTGTCTAGTTGCTCAACATTTTCCTCACCCCAAAAGGAAACCTCTTACCTTTTGAGCAGTCACACCTCATTTTCCCCTTCCCCCAGTCCCTGGAAACCACTAATTTGCTTTCTGTCTGTATGGATTTGCCTATTCTGAATATTTCATAAGAATGGAGTCATATAATATGTGGCCTTTTGTATCTGGCTTCTGTTATTTGGCATAACATTCTTGAGATTCATCCATGTTGAGCATGTATCAGTGTTTGTTTCATGGCTGAATAATATTCCATTGTATGGATATAACACATTTTGTTTATCCATTCATCAGCTGGTGGACACTTGGGTTGTTTCCACTTGTTGCCTGAATAATATTGCTATAAATATTCTTATATAAATATTCGTGTGGACATACATTTTTATTTCTCATGTATGTACATACTTAAGAGTGGAATTGCAGGGTCATATGGTAGCTCTTTGTTTAACTTTTTGAAGAACCCCAAACTGTTTTCTGAGGAGGCTGCTCTATTTTACATTTCCACCAGCAATGTACAAAAGTCCATGTTAACTCTTAATTCTCACAGTAACTTTAAGAGTTAGGTTAAGTTATTATCTGTATTTTAGCAGTGGGGAAACTGACTCACAGAGAGATCATGCAGTACCTTTTTCAAAAATCACAGAGCTAAGAAGTGACAGAATCAGGATTTAAAACCTGGCAGTCTGGCTCCAGAGTCTGCTCTCAACAGAACATAGTATATACAGGCCCAGAAGCAACTTCTCAGTACTGTAAGAGGGGCATATCAGTGTAAATCATCATAAATCAATAATTTATAAGTGGATGTACAGCTTAAAAGACTCTTCTAAGCTTTCATCTTGTGATATTTAACATACAAATCAGTATACCTAAACTCACCTATATAAATTATCTCCTGTAGTAAGAAGAAAAAGAGCAAAGAGAAGAAGAGAAAAAGAGAAGAGGATGAAGAAACCCAACTTGATATTGTTGGTGAGTCAGTTTTCAATGCTTTATTCTGAGAAAAGCTAACATCTGTTGAGATGTCATTTAAAAAATATTTTCCTGGTTAGATATATATGACCTGTTCATATTTGTCTTAAAGTGCTCAAATATGATTTACAGCTGTAGATTCCTTTTCTTTTTTTTTTCTTTTTTTTCTTTTTTTTTCTTTTTTTTTCTTTTTTTTCTTTTTTTTCTTCTTTTTTCTTTTTTTTTTTTTTCTTTTATTTCAGCATATTATGGGGGTACAGATGTTTAGGTTACATATGTTGCCCTTGCCCCCCGATTCCTTTTATTTTTTAGCACAATAGATGACACTGATGCCTTTTCTTCATTATTGGAACAAAGCACGGGAGAGAGGAAGCGTAACTGTCTGATTCAGTAGGCACCGTTAGACTACTTAATAGCCAGAGATTCTGACACATAATTTTAAAGGCCTAGTGTAGATAAATATTACTTAAACAAATACGTTTTATGAATTATTTTCTCTGGACATGTATTCATCTTAGTTGTAGAAGTCAGTTATTTGTCTCTAAAGGAAGTATATTCATAGTAAAAATCATTATTTTATAAACTAGGAAATGAATGAAAATCTTCAACAGAATAGACCATTAAGGTAGCCTATAAATGATACCATAAATAAACTGATCCAAACACATTTAACTAGTCTGTTTTCCATTTAGTCCTTACCTTTCCATACCTATACTTTAAAGCAATTTTTTTTCTCTTTTAAAACTCGGCAAGTTGCATTTTGAAACTTCATAAATTATGGTACCTTTAAACATATATAAAATATGGAATAGTATAAAGCTACCTATCTTGAGATCAGGTGGTATAAGTCCTCCGACTTTGAACTTCTTTTTTCAAGATTAACTATTCTAGGTCTTTTACATTTACATATGAATTTTAGAATCAGTTTATTAGTTCCTATAATAAAGCCTGTTGAATTTTCTGGGAGAGTTTTGTTAAATCTAGATCACTTGGGGAGAATCAGCATCTTAATATTGAGTCTCAATAATTTGTAGTTTTCAGTGTAGCAGTCTTGCATATCTGTTTAAAACTTATTGTTAAGTATTTTATAATTTTGTACTACTATAAATAGAATTCTTAATTGTTTTTCCCGTTTTCTTCTAAGAGTTTTATAGTTGCAGCTCTCACATTTAGGTCTTTGATCTATTGTAAGTTAATTTTTGTATTTGGTGTTAGGTAAGGGTATAACTTCATTTTAGCTAAAGTTTTACTGATTTTTTAAATTAATTATGGAAAGCCTAAATGTTTAGTTGAATAGGAAATTACATAACACTGTCATTATCAGGCCTTGTAAAATTAACAAGAATTCCTTAATACCATCTAATATCCTGTTAATGATTGACTCATTTCTACTCTAACTAAAGTACAATTCGGGGGAAGATTTTAGGTTATTCTTTTTTCCATTAAAATATAAACTTTTGCGACAATTGCTTTAATGATCTTACTCTAGAGTTTAACGTTTCTATTGGTGAATTAGAAATTAGTGTACATAGACATAGATTCTGCTCACTTTGCTTCTAATCTAAAATCATAGTTAAGACTGCTATGTGCTGGGAAGTCTTTCTGCAGGAGCCCGTAATATAATGGGCATTGCCTCTGGAAAGCAGGCATGGATGGCTGGATGGGGTCTGGAATAAGAGAGACTGCTCTCTGTATCATTTTGTATTGTCACAAGAACCTAATCCTGACTGTGGTAGTAGTCACGTGAATCTACACACATATACACAAACAAGTGCTTATAAAACCGGTGAAATCCAAATAAGCTTCGTGGATCATGTCAATATCAGTTTCCTAGTTTTGACATTGTAAAATAGTTATGCAAGTTGTCATAAGGGATAAAGTGAGTAAAAGGATTTCTGTATTATTTCTTACAACCGCAAAATAAAAAGTTTCACAAGATGAGTTACAGCGACAATAAAAAAAGAACCTTGTGTCAAAGCTGAAATATACAGTTTAATATTGATTTTATTTTTTAGGAATCTGGTGGACAGTAACAAACTTTGGTGAAATTTCAGGAACCATAGCCATTGAAATGGATAAAGGAACCTATATACATGCACTTGACAATGGTCTTTTTACACTGGGAGCTCCACATAAAGAAGGTTTGTGTCTGGTGGAAGCAATGGAAGGGAGGCCAGATTCTAACTAGTCTCAAGCATATTCCAAAGGAATGGAGCCCTTACATTTGACTCCTCCATATTTTTCCTTCCTCAATAATTTAGTAACCATTGGCAACTCCCTCTTTCCAGTATAAGCATTTGAAAACATTCTGTATTGTTCCAGAAGAGTATCTTTGGAAATCAAAAACAACAGGAATAGTTAAAATAGTAAGTGGAAAGAAAAAAGAAAACCTGGTTGAGTCAAAGGTTTGGATTTCTTTTTTTTTTTCCAAACTTATTGCCAAAACTAATCTGGGTGTATTTAACAATTTGAAGTCTTCTCATTCCCTTTAGCCCATCAGAGGAACTGCTAATGAGATATGAAGTAATTAGAAGATAAAAAGCAGTACCATTTGGTCAAAATGGCCATCTCTTAAATAAATGAAAACATTTAGTTTTTAAAATATTGTGCTTATTCATGACTGTACTTTAAAAAGTAAAAAATATCTTGGAAGTGATTAAATAAGCATCATGCCAATATATCTTATTAAATATGTAAAACTAGCACTATTGTAAGAAGATAAAATAGATCTTGATTCTATAGATATGTGTTATTATGTCATAATATCCTAATATTCTTCCACTTAATTTTAAAAGAAAAGAGCTACATTTTTAAAACAAAAGAATATATCATATCTGTATCTATAACAAATGTCAAATTTATTTTCAAACGTTTTTTCTTCAATAGTTGATGAGGGCCCTAGTCCCCCAGAGCAGTTTACAGCTGTCAAATTGTCTGATTCCAGGTAAGCTTGAATTGAACTATAAGTAATAACCATTTATTCTTTAATTTAATTTCCTTCATTAAAAATCTCAATATTTAGCTGACTTAAGCTCATAGAGTAACTTTGATGTAAAAAACAAAATAATTTTTTTTGAAAAGTGGTTTTATGATCAGCTTTTAGTGGA